CAAAATTTCAGATGGATTTGAAAAGATCTATATGAATAGTATATTGCTTTTAATTGCTAACACTTTGTAACATACCCTAGGGGATGAGAAAGTGGTTTCTCACTCATTCCTAGACTTTTCCTAAGAATTCCAATAGCTTTATTCTTCAAATTAACTATGGCTATACTGTATATATGTATGTATATATGCATCTGGTACTGGGCAGTGAACCCGGGACTTTGCACTGAGCTACATACCAAGCTCAATAATTTTTATTTTTTAAATTTTAAGACAAGGTCTTGCTAAGTCAGTATGTTGCCCAGGCTGGGCTGGAACTTGTGATCCTCCTGCCTCAGCCTCCCAGAGTGCCAGGATTACAGGTGAGCCACAACATGCAGCACAGGTTAACTTTAGACTTGCTTTGCTATATTGTGAGGTAAGACCTTCAGGGAATTTTGAGTTGGAATATGCAAATTTTTATACTAATTTGAGGGTGATAGGTGGGGCTTAAGCATTCTATTCATAAAGCATTGTATTCAAGACAAAGTATTTATCTCCAAGCCTTCTTCTGTGTCCCTATATGTTTTTTCCCCAAAATGACTTTGCATGCTTATGGTAACCTTTTTTCTACTTATTTTAATCCTTGCTGATATTATGAGTGTGATCTTCCCTTATTATATTTTCTAACTATTTTTTACTGTTGGATAGGAACACCATTGATTTTTATATATTTATTTTGTAATTGGCCATGTTTTTGAACTCATTTAATATTTTTAATGGATTTCTAGACATATTTCTAAAGATACAGTCATATGAATTTTTAAATAATGATTATTTTGCCTCTTTTCTAATATTTATCTCTCTTTTCATGTAATTTCCTTATTAAATCAAGCAGGACTGGCTAGGGACATAGCTCAGTGGCATAGCCCCTGCCTGGTAATTGCAAGGTCCCAAGTTCAATTCCCAGTACCAAAAAAGAGAGCTAGAGCCTGTGGGGGGTGATCATTCCCTGCTAAATCAACCAGGACTTTCAGAACAATATTAAGAGCTGTGGCAGGAATGCTTGATTGTTCATGTGCTAACGGATCTATTCCTAAAGCTTAATTTGAAACGTGATGCTTAAAGTTGGTTTGAGACATTTAAAAAATAACCATAAGAAAGTCTTATTTTTATTTTACTAAGATTTTTAAAACTTGGTTATGAATATCATATATATCAAATGTATTTTCATTATCTTTTAATGCATAATATCTTTTTCTACTTATTAGTAAGATAAATTATATTAAAAGATTTTCTAATATTGATCTATCTTTTTATTCTTGTAATGAATAACACCTGATCATGGTATATTTTCCTTTTAGATCATTAATGTAGCCTTTTTCCTAGAATAAATTATATGAATAGATTTATTACTATTGAACTGTCCTAACATTCCTATAATCAGCACCACTTGATCACGGTATATTTCACTTCTAATGCTCTGTTAGGTTCTCCGTGCTAAAAGGATATGAGTTCAGTGTATAAACTCAGTTGTACAAGAAGTAGTATATTTCTCATTCTGCCAGTTGTATTTAGGAATTTTGCATCAGTCTGAGCAAGGAAGGTAGGTGTATTCGTTCCCTTTTCTGCACTATCCTTGTTGAGTGTGAAGCACTAGGTCTTTCTAAAGAACACAAGGAATACTTCCTTCTTTCTCTATGTGCTGGTATAGTTGTCCCTGTTACACAGGAGGAGACAAGACAAAGCTTGATACCAACATTTTAGGGATGTACAGTTTGTTACTGAGAGGCAATGCAACATGGTGGTTGTCTCTTTGTGCTGCTGTAACAAAATACCCGAGACTGGATAACTTACAAACAACAGATTTTTTTTTTCCCCATTTCTGGAGATAAGAAGTCTGAGATCAAGCTACAGATGGGTTCAGTGTCTGGTGAGGGTCTGTTCCAGGCTTCGTGTCTTCCCATAGAAGCATTCTCACAAAGGAGGAAGGCCAGCAGGGCCTGGTTCTCTGGAGCCATTTTATAAGGGATTATAGTAAGTCCCTGACTTATGAACATTCGAGTTGTGAACTTTTGTGGATACAAACCGACCTCACATTACAAACAACTGTAGATCTGAACAAATGGACTAACTAAGAAAGAGTCGCCCTACCCAGGGTGGAGGGTCCCATTCAGTGACTGAGAGTCAGGAGAGAACAAACAGGCAGCGCAAAGGCAAATTCCTGGGACTGGGATGCTTCCTTCCTCCTGCTCAGACTCCAGAAGGTCCAAGTTCGTCAGCGCTGAGAACCAGTGAAGAATGCTCCTTCCTGATGTTGCCTCTTTTCCTTTCATTCCCCTCCCTCACACCTCGCCCAGACCTTAAGACTCAGCGCTGCTCTCTCGCTTCCGCCCCAGCGGGGCAACCATCTACTTCCTTCTTCCCGCAACCTTGCTAGCTCCTCGGGTTCCTTCTGCGCAAGACGCCCACCTGCCCACTCGTGGAGCTCGCCCCCGCAGCACCTTCCCAGCAAGCAGTTTGCTTCTATCTCAGAGTCTTCTCTCTCAGCGGCTCCTGGCAGTGGTTGATGCTGTTCTTCCGTGCCCTTGAGGGTGATTTTTGTCTGCAGAGAAGCCTATTAAGAAGGTTTATTTTGGGTTTTAAAAACGGAGTCAGTTTATTAAAATTACAAATTCAAAAACCTGGGTCCTTCCTTAGGCTTTTATGTTCCGCTTACAAATCTTATTACTCTATTTATAAGCCTAATAAATGTTAACAATCATTTTTAAGGAGACCTTGAATAATGCTTGGTCCCATTTACAAACTCGGTGAATTAAACACCTTCACTGTTGTAAAACTGCAATGATCAATTTAAACATATTTGATTTCTTTTTTAAGTATTTAAATGTTCTCACTTAAGCAAAACCTTCCTAAGTACAAAATAGTTCTTATCAATCTAGAAAATTAAACTAATAAATATAGTAAGCCTAAAACTCACACATTCCAATATCGTGCCTGGCTTTAGTAAGACTTCAACACGAAACCATAAATCTTAATCAATTACTTCATTACACATTTAAATTGGAGTTACAAGGTTGTCATCCTAATGGGCCAAATACTCTCAACCATTACAAATATATAAAATGCCGGATAGAAGGAGATCGCTTCTTATCACAAAGTTATTAGCACTATGGCTTGGATTGTCTTAGACTTTCCTGTATTTAATTTTAAATACTAATAGTTAATACTTGTTTAGCATTTTCTGTGCGCCGGATTCTGGTTAAGCGCGTCTCACGTGCTATAATAGTAGCTCATTTATTGCTCTTGATTCTTGTGCACAGACTTCCCGAGGGCCTTACCGACTGCGGGCCAATCGCACCCCAGGCCGCAGACCCTTTGCTGCCTCCCGCGCTTTTAAGTGAGTCTTTCCCGCGTTGCGCTCTCTTCCCAGCTCCCCAGCCGCTCTTCCTTCTCATTCTCAGCCGGCGAGCTGCTTCCCTCTGATCTCCTGGGTCATTCGCCCCAGCGCACAGTGCTGTCATCTTACAGAATGAACACAGCAGACGTTACTCACCAGATTTTTCCCTGCCAGCTACGCCTTTGTTTTAAAATTTTCATTTATTTTTTTTCCCCATCTCTGCAGCGAAATTCAGGAGAGTCGTTGCTTTTGCTCGCCAATCTTTTCTTCTCGATCTCTTCTGCTCAGCTTATCCCGAGGAGCTCTTCTCTGCCGGCACTGCCCGAAATTGCCTTCCTTCACCGCACCTGACCCCCGCAGCCCCGGCCCCGCCGCCGCCCACCCTTGCTTCCTGAGGACACCACTTCCGGGATGTGGCTCTCTCGGGTTTCTCCTGCCTCGCTGCTCACAGTCGCATCGGCCCGCTCCTGTGCCCTTCCTGCGCTGCTGCCTTGGTGTTGGGCGTCCTGGGTCTTGGTCCCTGATGCTCTTCTCTTCTCCGTGTCGTTTCATTCTCTTGCTGCGCTGCCCGGCCCTGGGATCTCCAGCGCATTTATCTCTATGTCTGCGATCCCCAAATTTCCCTCCTCAGCCCAGAACTCTCTTCCCAACTCCATGCTCCAGCATCTGACCGTTTCCTGAGCCTCCCTAACAAACACACTGAGTGCTGCATCCCTCCTCTTCCCTAAAACTCACCTTACCCGAAACCCGCCTCCTTCCTCGATGGTGAGCATCCTCCTAGTTGCTCAGGCCAAAAATTGTGGTTCTCTCTTTCTATTTCTCTCTCTCCGCATATTCCAGTTGGGGAATTCTGCTGGTTCTGCCATCAAAATGTATCCAGAATGTAGCCAGTCCTTACCAAGGCGCTGGCCTTTTTTTGAGCCACTGTTGTATCTCACTTGGATTATTACCATAACCCCGTGACTGGTCTCCCTGCTTCTACTGTGGCAATTTTATGTTAGTCTCAACATAACATCCAGAATAACCTTTCAAAAATGAGACAGATTGCATCACTCTTCTGCTCAAAACCTTCAGTGGCTCCCCATTTCATTCAGAGTAAAAGCCAAAGTTCTTGCAGTGGTCTCCTGGGTCTGCCATGATCCAATTCCTTTTTCTACTTCTTTCTATCCTACATGGCTTGAATGACACTGGTTTTGTTTCTCCCACTGTACCAGGCAAGGACCAACCACAGGGCCTTTGCATTAGCTGTTCCTTTGTTTGCAAAGCTCTTTGCTCAGATCTGCTTGGATTCACTTGCTTACCTCCTCCAAGTATCTGCTCAGTTCTCCTCATCTCAACAAAGCCACGTCTAACCATCCTAAAAATCCAGCAACCCACTCTCTTGGGCCTCTCTCTCCCTCTTTTTCTGCTCTACTCTTCTTTTTTCCTTGGCACTTCTCTCTAAAAGTACATCTAATTTACTCGCTTATCAGGTTTTCTATTTGTCTCCTCCCTTTTAGAGGCTAGAATCTTTGTTTTCTCTCCTGATGATTACCAAATGCCTAGCATTTGGTAGATACCCAGTAAATACTTTCTGTATGAACAATGCCATGAAAGAAGGACAATTTTTACTTCTGTTTTACAGATGGGGAAGCTGAGGAATAAAGAAGAGAAGAAATGTATCCACCATCATCCAGCCAAGAAGTAGTAGAGTTGGAATCTATGTGCTCAACTGCTGAGCAGAGCTGAGAATCCCTGTGCTGAACTACTCCTTAAAACTGTGTCTTTCACACATACAAACCATCGACCTCCGCAGCTTCTCTGAGGCACAGTTATACACACTGGCGAATAATGACACCGTGTTCAGTAACAGGCTGTTAATAGGACAGTGGCTCTGAGTGGCTTAGATGTGTAGTAGACAACACCGTCTAGGTTTATGTAAGTACACCTGTGATGTTTGCGTGACGGTGAAATCACCTAATGACAGTTCCCAGAGCTCATGCTGCCACAGCTGTACACAGATTTCTGTCTTCTCTCCTTAGAGGAGGATGCACCTTCAAGCATGTGGGGCTGGATTTTGCATATCTTTCTCTCTTCCCCTATATAAACGTGACTTTCCATTTTACAATAAAGACTTCAGCTGGATAAGATCTTTCATTCTGTCACATTCTTATGGTTGTGCAACTCCACAGACAGAACATAAACATCAGGAGGACAGTTATTCTTGTGTGTTCGTTTGTTCCTTACTGATTTCCCACTGCCTAGAACAGAAAAGGAGGTCCTTCACAAATATTTACTACATGTTAAATGGATGATATCTGAGAGGATAACCAGGTACATTTTAGCTGTTTTATATAGCTTTTTCTGACTTGTCATCATTCATCCCTTGTGTTAACATTCTGCTTTCTGTTGCTATGACAAAATGCCTGAGACAGTCAACTTATGGGGAGGAAAGATTTGTTCTGGCTCAGGGTTTCCGAAGTTTCAGTGCGTGGTTTATTGGCTCCATTGCTTTTGAGTCTGTGCGAGACAAAATATCATGGCAGGGAGCACAGCGGGGAGTGAAGCTGTTCCTCTCCTGGAGTCTGGGAAGGAGGGAGACTACATTTGTGGTACAAATAAGTGGTACAAACACACTCATATAGTTGTGGTACAAGCCGTAGCAGGGACTGAGTGTGACTCGAGAGGACAGAAAGGGAGGGAGAGGAAGGGACTAGGGTCTCGTCAAGGGCACCTACTTCCCCTCACCCTGAATGACCTGCTTCCTCCAGCTAGACCCCACTTCCTGAAGTTGCCACCACTTTCCAGTGGCACCATCAGCAGGGGGCCTTGCCTTGAATGCATCAACTTTTGGGGGACACTTCAGAGCCAAACCGTAGCAATACTGTTTTCCAATCTGCTCTACTTGTTCTTTCTCTGAACATGGTGGAGTGCCTGCAGTGGACTGTGGCCATCCACAGCCTTATGCTTCATTGAGTAACTCCCCCAGCTCCTTGTGATCTGAGTGGAGTTACCAGGCACTGTGCCCTGTCACCTCAGCCATGAAGAAGAGGAGTGTGACCCGGCCTAGGGCAATCCTAAGAGCACATCCTCTGGATACAGTGATTGACTGACCTGCAACTCAAGCTGGGCAATCAGCTAATAGTTTTTATTATTGTCATTATTACTATTATTGCTGCCATTTGTAACCGGCCGGGCCAGTACTCATTATTATGTTTCGCCAAAACGAAGTACGAGTCTCCAGGAAGGTGGGCTCTGAGGTTGCCAGTAGATCTCTTTCTGGTGCTATGGAGAAAGTCTCCGTGTTCATGCGGCTAAAACAAAATCTCTGAGATTGGGTAATTTGTAAAGAACAGAAATTTATTTCCCACGGTTCTGGAGGATGGAAGTCCAAAATCAAGGTGCCAGCAGATTTGATGTGGGCGAGGGCCGGATCTCTGCTTCCAACATGGTGACTTATTGCTATGTCCTCTAGGGGACACAAATGCTGTATCTCACATGTTGAAAGGGACAGAAGGCCAAAAAAATCCTAGCTAGTTCCCTCTAAGCCTTTAATAAGGATGTAGAATCCTAGAACCCTCATGACTTCATCATATCCAAAAGACCCCATCTCAAAATACTATCACTGTGGGTCTTGGGTTCCAGACGTTTGACTTTTGGAGGACATACATTCAAACCACAGCAGGGACCAAGTGTGATACAAGAGAAGGGAGCCAATATGCAAATAAAGGTAGAGCAATAGAGAAGAGATGGGAGAAAGGGGGCCTATCCCTTCCTTTACCAGCCTTTTAAACCCTTTCTTTGATTGGTGTCTTCAGCTTTTCTGTTTTTTCTTACATCAATTTTGGTAATTTATATTTTGATTATCAGAATTTTATGGACTTACACATTTGTTGTTATAATGCTATCTTTTAATTCCTTTAGTTACTCCTGTAACACTAACTGTAGTTCCTTTCTCATCTCTTGTGTTTTGCCTCTTTTTTGCTTTTTTTTGTGTGTATGTGTACTGGGACTCGAACCCAGGGCCTTCCACATGCTAGGCAAGTGCTCTACTATTCTGCTATATCCCCAGCCCAACTTTGTACTTCTAAAAAGTACGTTCAGAGAGCTAGTTTTAAAATTTATCTTCCTCTGAGTAACCAATTTGAACATAACAACATGTAATACAATATCTACTTTCAATTTTCTATCACCTTGTCTCAAACTCTGTATTGCTTCTGTTGTCTGGGTATTGTTTTGTTTATGTCTGTTTGTTTGTTAATGTGTTTTTGTTCTTTATCTTTACAAATAAAAAAAAATACACCAATAAAATTTATCTTCCTGACTGCTTTTTGTTTCTTTCTTTTCTACTTCATTAATTCCTTATTTTATCATTATTAATTTTACCCTACTTTTATCTGTCTTTTTCTAGATTTTTTTTGTTTGTTTGTTTTTGAGACAGGGTCTTGCTATGCAGTTCAGGTTGACCTTGAGCTCACTTTGTAGCCCAGGCTGGTCTCGAACTCGCAGCAGTTCTCCTGCCTCAGCCTCCTGAGTGCTGGGATTACAGGCATACGCTACCATGCCTGGCTCTTTTTCTAGATTCTTACATTGCATATTTATTCACTTATTTTTAGTTTTGTTAATAAGAACATAATTAAAAGTTATAAATTAGCTTTTAAACAGTGATTACTATGTCCTATAGGTGCTGTTATAATGTACTACTTTTTATTAATTGGGTTTTTAAACTCTAGTTGACTTCCTCTTTGATCTAAATATTTTCCCCACTCATTTTTCTGGCTAATTCTTGCTTGTTCATTAGTTTTCAGTTTGGAAGTTCCTGACCCCCAATCAGCTTAAAGCTTCTTACTGTGAATTCCTATAGAATCAATATTTCTTAATACATATAAATGATTATTTGGGTGATTCTTTGTTCACTTGCACTTCCTCACCAGGCTCAGAAGTTCCCAACAGAAAGGATCGTGTTTATCTTTTTTACTGTTGTTTCCTCAGCAAATATGAGCTTGACACACACTTGGTATGCAGTATGTGTTTATTGAATTCATGGCTGGAAAATAATCATCAGTGAGAATGCAAATCGCATGACTCTTAGAGGGAAATTGTAATATTTTTAAAAAGTGATTATTTATACATTTGTTCTTTGTCCCACTAATCCCTCTTCTGGGTTTGTAACTTAAAGGTGCACTGACAAATGCTAAAGTGATTTTTGCACAAAGCTATTCTTTGTGGTATTATTTGACATAGCAGAATATTGGAAGGACTCCAAACGTCCATCATTGGGAGATTAACTGGATAAACTGTGGTTCATTCACACAGTGGGATAGTATCAGATGTAAAAGACAACACAAACAGCGCTCTGCAATGGAACTATCCCGGGACATCTTGTTAAAGGAAAACCACAAGGTGTAGAATTGAACACATAACATGCTATCTTTTGTGTAACAGTGGGGTATAAATATGTATACAGACTTATTTATATTTGCAAAAAGAAATACTGGAAGGATAAAAAAAGCCAAAAACAATAAAATGATGACTTCCAGGAGAAGAAACAGCGTAGAGGGATAGGGGTAGAAACAAAATTCTGTAGATACCTACTTTTGTGTGGTTTTGGCTTGGGAATCACATAAATATGTAACACATCCAAAAATAACATTACATCAAAAGAAAAGGAGGAAAAACAGGTTCCCAAAATCTGAAAACAAGACAACAACAACAAAAATAAAATTTGAAAAGAATCTGAGATGAAGGACCTGAAATGTACATCGAGTTGCTAACATAACCACTCAGTGAAGATTATTCCAGGTGGCCGTCTCTCGCAGCATATTGACCTTGTACACTTAGAGAAATGCACTTTCAAGGACAAAAAGAGCTTCAAAGAAATCTTAAAGCTTCATTTGAAAGTCTTATTATGAGTTAAAAAAAGTATTGACATTACTTTTGAAACTATTTTATAAAAATTACAGGGTAATGCAAATAAGTAATTATGTTAATGTCAGACTCTAAGAGTATCAGTGTACAAGAAAAGAGATTCGAAGATAAGATCAAAGAGATTAAGCAAAAACCCTGAAATGCTATATTTGAATTAGAAAGATTGACAGAAACTCATAATCCTTTTGTTTCTCCTGTTTAAAAGCATATATTTGCCTGTCCTATCCACTGACAAAGTTAAGAGGTGATACTAACCCCCTACCAGCAGGCACAGCTGGGGATCAGAGCGTGTCCTCCATGACTAGGACCAAGGGCTCCTTGGAGAAATGGCTGATTCCAGGTCTAGGGTAGGAAATAGACAACATGGGCCTGGAACATCGTGTTAGGCTAGAGAGAGAAGGACATTGTCAAAGAGTAATAGGATCACGTCCGAAGGACACAGGAGCTAACAGAAAGGGATGCCTGCTGGCTAAAGATGAAAGAGTAATGACTGAGATTTATTGAAACACACTGAATTTATAAACACTCGTTAGTTCATATTGATAGAGACAGAGCAGAGAGAGGAAAAAAGCCCCAAATCAAACAAATATCATTACATTCTACTGGAGGTAACTAGGGGACAATTCCTTGTCCTGAGAATTAGCAGTGAAAAGGAAAGAATCAGGCCTTTATCTTGTCATTTTCTACTATTTCATCTCAACCTAAAAGCCCCTGCTCATGAGGGAAAGTTTTTCATAAAAAAAAGTCCAATTAGTAAAGGTAGAAGGATTAATAGGACTAGAAAACCACCTGTTCATATCTTTCTGTAGAGTAATGGATTTGAGCAATAGTCACCAATGGGTGAAATGATTAATATAAAGGATCGAGGGGGAATTTCATAATGGAAGCAGCTGGTTGTTATCACTTCAGCCACGGATCAGTCTGAGCACCACTGTGTGTTTTCTCTGCAACGATGGAAAAAACACAGCCCCACATAGGTGACATCTACTGTAGTTTGGATTTCCCTAAAAAAATCAGATGCTGGGGAAAGGATTTGGGTACAAGTAGTTTGTTTGGAAGATGTTCCAGGCTATTAACTCCTCAGCTTTTTTCGGGTGGCAGAGTGCAAAAGGAACTGGGACAGCATGCTTGCTTGTAGCCTCCAGGATGGGCCACAGGGAGATAGCAAAGCAACACCAGTGCGTGCTATGGTCCTTTGCCTAAAAGCCAAA